TTAATTTAATGAGCTAGTATTTTATGCTCTATACCTATCACACAATGTCTGTGATCCATTTGTATGGCTTCATTATGTTCACAAATTGCTTGTCTGTTAAGATACTAGAACACATGTGTGAGTCAGAGGAAAGTAAGTGAAAATGCTGTAGGGAAGTAGTGGACAAACTCCCAACTGAAACAAATGAACAGGGACATCAAGGTCAACAGACTTTTCTTGGGTACATCTACCCCCAACATGCAAAATTCATTGCTTGTTGGTGCAATTCTAAACTGAAGACTTTATTCTTATAAAATCAATTCCATTAATTATGCAAACTGATTATTGCAATTTTCACCATAAATTTTTTTCCCTTGATCCAGCAACTTTACAAAAATGCTTTTCTTCCTTGTAAAACAGTTTATCAGTCACTTTATGAAGATGCCCAATTAAATAATTTCATGGTTTCAAACTTACTAAACCTCTTTCAAGCACGTAGTCCCCCATTACTTGCACTGAATAACTGTAAGGAAATGCTAAATTTTTCTGATTTAGTGCAGCTAGCTTAAATGGACTAAGGTGTTGGTACTTCTGTATTTAGACACAAGCAGTGTGTTACTACATTTTGGAGCTTGGCTTACAATAGGGGAGTTATTAGTTTGGGTTCTAGAACTGTGTTATTCAAGTAGCTGGAAACACTGAGCTAGTGACTGACACAGCTCTCTTGTCAATGTCCAAACACATTCACAAACAAAAGAACTCAACTATTTTTAGTTAAACTGCCATCATAAATTTCCATGTTATTTAAAAACTAGCTTCTGAGAAACTTTAATAATCAGCATTGTTGTTAAGTTTAAATAAAACTGCAGAAATAAGCTCTTGCAGAACTTGGCACATAAATCAATGACAGTGAATAAATTTTATAGAGATCCTTCACTGGTGGTTTTAATACAGCTTGCCTGTACCTGACCTGAAAAAACATTTCAGTCAGACACAACCTGTTGATCTGTTGCACCAAATGCCTCAGCAAGCTAAGACTCCTCCAGTAAAGTGCTTTCAAGATGAGAAATCAGTTTGAATGCAGTTACATGCTTTACTAGTCCCTGGCCTTCTAATCTGCTCTCTGTTACACCTACACATTTATCAGCAGCTGTTCATATCCTCATAAATCCTGTGCTCTTCCACTTTCCAGTATCTGCAGCCTAACACTGCAAATTTTGTAGTTAAACTGAATAATTACTTTGAAAGTGGAAAAAAAATTACTATTTTAAGTATTTCATGCTTCCTTGATAAAAAATACCTGAGGATGCTCAAAGCTGGAAGTAATTATCCAGCTCAGAGGTCCCCAGCACTGGAAGGACTGTTGGAACCTATTGGAAAGTCCAGAGAAGAGTCATTAAGAGTATTTGAGTGATTGAGCACCTCTCCCATGAGGAAAGGCTAAAAGAATTGGAATTATTCAGCCTGGACAAGACTTCAGGGTGACCTAGTTGTGGCCTTCCAGTACCCAAAAGGAGCCTACAATAAAGATCCTTTCTTACCAGGGAATGTAGGGACAGGACAAGGGGCAATGGCTTCAAATTGAGAGTAGATTTTATTAGATTTTAGGAAGAAATTCCTTACTGTGAGGATGGGTGAGGCACTTGAACAGGTCGCCCAGAGAAGCTGTGGATGCCCCATTCCTGGAAGTGCTCAAGGCCAGACTGGATGGAGCTCTGAACGACCTAGTTTAGTGAAAGGTGTTCATGGCAGGGGCATTCAAACTAGATTTTATCTTTAGGCTCCCTTCCAACTTAGGCCACTCTATGATTCTCTAATCTGAAGATGTTAAGAACAGATTTACACTTGCTTTTTTACATTAGAAGATTTTTCACACAATTTCCTGGTGCACTACAACTTAAGCAGGAACCCTGCCCACTCAACAGCACACAGCTCAGTTTGTCATTTATTGTTGCAACTCAAAACCTCATCTGCTACCTGCACAAATCCTTCTGTATTTCCTTCCTCCAAATGAAGGTTAAGCAGTTATCTACATACTGCTATTTCAAACTATGGCTCTTTGAAACACATCTCCAAACTGAACCTGACAAACACCGCCATTTCAGAAGAGGATTGTAATAAAGAGACCAATCGAGACAACAGACTGTTTTGTGCAAGATTGTTTTATTAACAGACCAGACTTTGAAATATTGCAGCTGGGCATCTTTACCTGCAAAGCAAAAAAGAAAAAGGTATCATTAGGCACATGTAGATCTGAAACAACTCTGGCCACATGAAAAAAATAATACATTTTTACCATTTGTAATTTTGGCTGAAAACACTCACTTTATTTCACTGGATTTAAGACTGTGGTAGCCTCACACACTGTAACTAAGTTTTACATTAACAGCTCTTTACTGAAAACAAAGATTGTAAGTACCAGACTTAGCAGGATAAACATTTCTTCCTTGAACCAATGATGCCTATATTTGATATTTAAAGACATGCCAAGACATTATATACATTCTAACTTTTGCTGCACTCTCGTTTTTGGCAAATTTCAGAGACTGTTTACATACAAAAGTGAAAGCAAAAAAGCCAACTTGGGTCCAGTTCCTGTAAAGTTTTCGTGAAAAATTGATGAAATTCAGGATACTGTCAATACTGATTGACATCATTTGCTTTCAAGTACTATGCTCTTTCTTCCCAGTCTTTACAAAGGAATCAGTACTGGAAGTCTATTTTTTTCATTCACTTGAGACTATAATTTAAGAAATAAGTCACAAATAGAATAAGAAATAAAGACAAATAGCAGGAAACTATCTACTTATAGGAAAGAGGAATACTCTTCTTCAGTTACACAGCCCTTCATAATGACATTACCTGGAGAGTACTGCCAGTATGTCACCTGAACCTACTACTCCAGTTTGTCCATGGCCTTGGTAGAAACTACAACATTCTTCTATTTTCTACATGTAGGCTACTTGAATTTTAAACATGCACTCTATTCACAACAGCAGGAAGAGACAGTTGAAGAGACAAGAAGAATTGGCTGTCTTAGATTTAGTTTGCAGGAGAAGCATAACTGCTTATAAGCATAAAATAAGAAACTGCAAGGTCACTTCCCAAATTAGAAGAAAGTAGAGCTCTAATGTATGTCACTTATATGGGATGCTGAGCTACAAGTCCAGTGAAAAACATGTGCAACCAGATGAATGGATAGCCCTTGTTTCTGTGCCAACATACCAACCCTTGCAGGCATTTACAACTACTGCAACTGTGAACTAGAAGCTTCCCATCTGTAGGAAAGCTCCTGAAAACAACACTACCAAGTATACATCTGATGTTTAGCAAGGAAGATGGAAAAGAAATAAATCTACACTGACAGAAAAGCTGCAGTGTTTCCATTAAAAACAACATCATGCTCACAAATCAGACAGGAGCATACAGTCCTCCTCAGCCTTGGTTGTGCACTAACTTCAAGGACACATCTGCCAATTCTGAACTTCCAAGTTTCTGCCACCAGCAGCAAAATTTCTACAAGAATAGTACAGGGAGTAACTTAACATCACCCCAGGCACAAAACATTACAGCAACTCTGCTTCTCAGAGTTACCAACATCTTTCCATAGCTGAGCTAAAAGGCTTTTCAAGAACACTGTCCCTAGTAAGGAACTATTTTCCTGAAGTTGGAACTTCCACATGCCATGTAACCAGTGGTTTAAAACTCTGCTGACTTCACGGACAGGAGATAACACAACATGCAAGGAGCCTGAATGAGGAAATTATCAGCCTACAAAAAAAAAGCTTCAAGAATTAATGCTGTCAGTCAAATGGAAAGTATTTCCTAGATCTTCTTTGGCTCCTTGGACAGAAAGCAGACCCAAATGAGCTCAATTTGCTGTGCCTTGGCTGTAAGATTATTTTTAAGACTTGAGGAAAAAAAGAGAACAAAACACTATAAAATTTCTTTCCCTTCAGAAACTTTTAATTTCTGAGAACTCATCCAAATGCAACTGCACCTGTTTTGAACTGTAAAGTCACAATACTATCCATTTTTTATGAACCAATCTTCTGAAGCTAGGAATTTATAAGTAAACTGCATATCTGATCCAAAAGAAAAAACAACCATACAAAAAACAACTAAACAACAAAAACCACCCCACACAAATCCCAACAAGCCAATCAAAAAAAACCATTTTGACTTTGGAGAAATTAGTTTAGGGAAAATTGGTCTTTGATATTGTTTCCAAAAACCGTAACACAATCAAGCTTTCTTATATTCCAGCATACCTGTCAAACCAAAAAGATATTTGACTGAAACTAAAATATGGGCAACACTGAATGTAGTTTAGTGTCTAAAAAGCAAAATACGAGAACTCTGAAAAAAAAGTGCTGGCTTTGAATGGCAGACTTCTCACTAAAGCAGAACAGCAGAGTGACAACAATCGATAAGACATTGTTTGGAGTAGGTCCTACCTTCAGGACTCAGATGTCACTGTTAAATGATTTTAAGTGTTAATAAGCCACATTTCTAAAGGACATTCTACTCAAGTGGGCAAATCAGTCTTTCAGAATTACCAACTTGGTCACTATACGTGAGAGCTTTAAATGAATCATTCTGAAGCTTGCTCAAGCTGAAAATTTAGACCAGTTCTGATCAGGTATTTCTAGAAAACATGAAAAAAAAACATGCTACTTGCAATTACAAGATTTCGATCATATTAAGAGGACATAATGAGGCTTGAAAGTTTAAGCTGAGATCTCAAGGCTTCCCAACATAAGACCAAAATAAAGCTTTAAAACAAGTTATTGGTAATGTTTATTTTTCCTAAATAGATCAGCTACACTGACAATTTAACTTCCCAAATGTTTAAGCTTTAGTAAGACTTCCAAAACAAAACCAGAACACTGTATTGTTCAAGTAGCTTTACACTGTAGGTACCACCCAAGAATGAGTGAGCATCTATTAAACTTGAATGTCTGACAAATAATGACAGCAGCCTGCAGAGTTGAACAGTTGATTGCCTTGGGCAGTATCTCACCATTAGTTCATTCTCCTTATGAGTCTGTTGATCTGGTCTTCTCTGTTACCAGCATCCCCACCTTCCACAAAGTGGATCGTTTTCTTCTTCATTCCACCCCGAGGAGAGGATAGCTTGAAGGGCCAAAGGAAGTTGTTCACAACTTTGAAGTTCTTGCCAACAGTGTAAATTTCATGGATCACATCTTCCATGCAGATGATGCCAAGCTTTCCTAAAATGCAGACACAGTTTTCAGAAAGACTTCAGAGGCACTGGTCAATAACAAACTAAAAATTATCACATTGTTACTGTCATCCCTACTTATTTTGATAAACTTCAGGAAGTCAGAAACCACTCACTTTGTCATGAGACTGAATGACTGACTTTTCCAATTAAAATGGATTAGTTACAGCCAAGTCAACATTTAGATGGCACATTTGGCAAGAGGCATCAGTTTCAATTGTTAAGTATTTGCTGCCAGCAGTGAGAAAAAACAACAAACAACCTGCACTTACTGAATCTCAGAAAAACAGACTGCTCTTCGGAGAAATGCTAGATTAAATACACCTAAACCACTGCAATCTGTAACTCGGAGAAACTCACTAGCTATTAAGTTAGGCTGCTGAATAATGCTACAGCATGTTTCCTTAATGCCTTTCCAGAGTCTTCGGCAATATGTTACAAGTTAACTCTCATAAAACACAGTGCTAAAAAGAGATTACAACAGAATACCTGTACCTTTAGGATGTTAATCCACTGCACAGGAAAAGAAGCAGGCACAACACAGCCTAATCTGAAGCAAAATGCAAATCGAGTGCCAAAAAAAGGGACAGACTTGAGTGGTCGCTTTCACTCATTCTGGCATGACTGCAAGAGCAGGGACCCTCCCAGAGCAGCCCATACCCCAATTCTTCAGCACACTTTGCTTCTACTGAATACACTGATCACTATCTAGTTCTTTTAACAAGTTTAGAAAGTCTGTTTACCGGATCATAAAAGTCAAAGACAAAATGTCTAATACAAAAGTCTTAAAGTTCAAAGCTATGATGACTCTTTCATGCTACAGTACTTTTTAGTTACTCAAAGATCTACTGACCCCATAAAGGTAAAGCAGGTTACATTTAACATTACAAAGGCTAAAATTTGATTCTTTACACCTGTTTTCAATACTTTATGACGGAATTTATTCCAGCGTGCTTTGTATTAAATAATTAAGACACAAGTGGAGATCATAACTAAACACCAGTGTACTCCAGTGACACTTAAGGACAGTTGCTCAGCTCAGCACTGGTCACCCTGAGGCAAGCAGCTGGCTTCCCATTTTGTCCAGCAGAATTTACCAAGGCATTTCTGGATCAGGCGGTTGTCAGTCAGAGCAATGCGCTGCTTGTTGATCTTGCCGTAACCCCGCTTGTAGATCAGCTCATGCACAGACTTTAGGTTGGGGTAACTGAAACGGTCACATTCAAAAAGAGAATTTTAAGTCTTTGCAAGCCACATTTTAGGATAATGTTAACATCCCTGATTTAGACTGCAACACCAAACAACTAAAGATCATTTCAGCATGTCCCACATGTAAACACAAAAGCAGCAGAGAAGCAAATCTTATGCCAAGTTCCCAAGAACACCAGTATGAGAGTGCAATCATATCTAGCAGACATTACCTTTAAAGCACTGCCTCAACCATGTTTTCGATTCAAAGATGGGAAAGCACACAGAGGATGAAAAACCCCTGCAAGTCTAGCATAGCAAAATGCAAAACCCACTCAACATTTGCACCTGATTAGGTACAACTGGGCCTTTCACTCACCCCCAGGCAATGTAGGGCTCAACAATCCGCAACATGTTGATAGAGGCTTTGTTGAGTTTGACAAAGGTGCCGTTAAAAATCTGCCGAAGGCGAAGAAGCTGCAGAACCTTGCGAACCTTCGGGCTGACACCATTGGTACTGGAAAAGAGAATTATCAACATCTCAGAAACACTAGGTATGAGGTTAAAAAAAGACCCCAAATCACAGTAGCACTGTTACCATATGAAAACACATTTCATGAATTACACAAAGCAAACTCAGTAAATTAACTTACTATTACTATACATTTCAGTATAAAGTTAAAACATCTATTTCCACAAAAATAACTCAATTAAGTATTATACTGAAACAATTTAGAACTAGCCTTGCATTGTCCTGAACATAATTCTTCCAATCACACTTTTTTTTTTAGTTTTCTGTAACACTTTACACCAAAGTAGAACAAATCAAACACTTGAAGAACAGCTCAGCATAATGTTTGGGAATAGGGATGTGTAATTTTATCAAGTTAAAGGTGAGAAAGAATAACTGTCTGCATGTATTTTCAGCCTTGTCTTCTTGAAAATCAGGGATTCCTAAAGATAGTAGGCAGCAAAATGATTTAGCCCTTAATTAAACATACCTCAAGGGCACATACAATATCTACCAACAACTTCTCAAGCCACTGGTAGAAGGCTTTATCTTGTTAAAGCCCTCAAAACAGAGAAGTAACAGGAAAGCCAACTTCAGTACTTTTGAACATAAAATTACTTATACCTGTATGTTACTTGTATGTAACCTTACCCTCTTATTCTGATCACAAATGCCAGTTTTGGCTCAGCTGGGACGTAGTAATTGCCAGCTTTCCGGGCCATCCTGGCCATACGGATCTCCTGCCTGTACATGTGCCTGTACTCCTTGTGGTAAGCCTGGGCTCTTGCATAGATGAGCTTCCTTTGTGCCTTGCGGTACTGCGATGAATTGGAAATTAAGTATCATGCCACATTCTAGAACTTCCCCCAAGTAACAGATCAGTATCACACAGCTCTGATCAACCCTCAGTGATGCTTCAGAGAATCTGGACACAGCAACCAGTGTTACCATTCCTGACTCTTCTTCAGCACTGTGGTGATAATGAGTAACAGGTACAAATTGAAAGATGGAAAGTTTAGGTTAGATATAAGGAAGAAATTCTTTACTGTGAGGGTGGTGAGACACTGGAACAGGTTGCCCCAGGAGGCTGTGGATGGGCCAACCCTACCCATGTTCATAGCCAGACTGAATTGGATCTTTTAGCAACCTGGTCTAGTGGAAGGTGTCCCAGTCCATGGCACAGGGGTTGGAGCTAGATCGTTGATGTCCCTTCCAACCTCCTACAGTTCTAGGATTCTCTGATCACACATCAAGCTCCCCCTCACAAAGGCTATAACTTCTTGCCTCGTACAAGACTAACTTCAATGTTATTATAGACAGCTGTACACTTTAACTCAGCCCAGAACTTTGTTATCAGCCACTAAAAGCATGTTTTAGTCCAACACATCAAGAAAACATCAACATACTGTGAACTTCTGTACTGCATCACAGTAGTAGCAGCAGCTGCTACTGCAGTAAATAAGCAGCCTGAGCCAAGGGATCAGAGAATATTCACCTTTTTTATAGCCAAAATCTTCTTCTGCCGTTTGGCTTTCATGACCGCATAGGCCTGCCGCTTCTTCAGCAGGCTCTCAGGCACAGAGGGCACCTTCTTTACTCTAAATGAAAACAGAAATAAAACCTTTTAGCTGGTAGAAAGAAACTCAATGACGTTATGACATATTGACATATGACAAACATTAAGAGTCTCAAACACAACATATGCACAGACCTCACTACCTTAAGCCACTTTACTTCACCTCTGTCATCCTCACTGTTCCTTCCCTGGCCTGGGAGAGCATCCCACGACAGTTCCCTGGGACTTAATTGGGTGATTTTCTGGTGCATAACCTGCACCATTCACATTTTATACCAGACAAGAAACCCTTACAGACCAACCAGAGCTGCACACAACCGTAACTACGAATAATTGTCCTACTTTGCTACAATTGCTAATAGAACAAATTTGTTTCAGGGTAACTTCTCCTTGATCAATGCACATTTCAACAGGTGCTCGAACAGGAAAAGCTTATTTGGAAATACTGTGAAATTTATTTCACAGGACTTTCAACTTGCTCAGATCATCACAGAATGGGTGATGTTGGAAGGGACCACGGCGGGTCATCTAGTCCAACCTTCCTGCGCAAGTAGGGTCATCCCAGAGCACAGGGCACAGGATTGCAGCCGGATGGTTTTGAACACCCCCAGTGTTGATCCATAACCTCTCTGGGCAACCTGTTCCAGTGTGTGGGGTAAAGAAGTTCCTCCTCAACTTCAGACCTAACTTCCTAAACATATTTTTTTGTCCCGTTCCCTCTTGTCCCGCAGATTTTGAACTCTCAGACACGACAAAACTTATCAGAACAGTATTTATAGAGCCACGATCACCCTGACGAACGCCTACAGCAGCCCGGCGGACAATCACTCTCTGCTCCAGCCCCCAACACAGCCTTGCCCGCCCGCCCAGCGCAGAGGAACTCGCCGCCCCGGCCCCACATTCCCGGCGGCGACGGCGCTCGGGTGCCGCTCTCCCTCCCCACCCCGCCAGGCCGGCGGCCGCAGCCGCCGCCTGCGGAAGGGCCA